CCAGCTGGTGCTAGAAAAAAAAAACATAATAAAAGGGAAATTCGGTACTGGGATATCAAGCTAAACTAAGCGTGAGAATGGGAGAGGACTTGTTTGCAGATGAATGCAGCATTCCCGCTTGTGTCGTGGACCCCGGACGACTGCGAGAGGCGCTGGTATGCGCTACAATCCTTTGTGAATAGGTCTTAGTGAGTTAGGAGTCCTCTCGACTTCTTTTAAGCTGTCCCAGACTTAGGTGCTACTTTTAGGGCTAAAATGCTTCGTGAATTACTCTTAGTAGGGGTGTAACGGTACACAAAAATCATGGTTCGGTACGTACCTCGGTTTTAAAGTCACGGTTCGGTACGTTTTCGATACAGCAAAAAGAAAGAAATGCCAGAGAAATTTCTTATTTGTTAAAAGAAAAAATATTTTTAAATAACTGAGTTTTCCTACATCTTGAAACTTTCAGGTTTATAAATGGGGGTCTTTGAAGGATGAACAAATAATGTTTTGGTCATCACATTAAAAATAACATTTAAATATATATATATATTTATTTATATATTATTTGAGTTTTGAAGAGCTGGAAAAAGATGTGTGAAGTACTTGAAAGCAGTTCACTATTCCAGCCAAACTGGTTACAGTTAGTGTTAGCCTACTATATTAAATCCATGGTGAATGTTGCTGGTCTGTGGACGGAAAGTAATAGTTCATTCACGGCACAATGTTTCTCCTGGTTTCCACGTCAGCGCTGTTTGATCTAATAGAGATCTACGGTTAATAACGGAGAAATGTGAATGCTTCTCACTAGATCTCGCAGCGATGTTATTACTTCAGTGACGAATTCAAATGTTTTCTTCACTGGATCTCTTAGCGCTGTGTTGTAACAGTGTCGCTTGATCGAGATCGGCTCGCGCTGCACAGATGTTGCTGGTCAAACGATCCGTGAAGCACAATATCATGAGTAGCGCAGTTTCGTTCCGCTTTCATTACGTTTGCCATTTGATGTTGCGCAACGTTGTGGTGATCGTGCCAGCGCGAATTTTGTCGCCAAGAAAAATGGTCCAAGGAATCGTTCGGTTTGTATGCGTACCGAACCGGAAGCCTCGAATCGAAACGGTTACAATACGAATACATGTACCGTTACACCCCTAACTCTTAGTGAAAAAAATTTGGAGTCCTAAAGTTAGGAGTGACACGCCCATTATTTTTAGGAGTTGCTCCTAAATTCGCCAGTTAGGAGCTACTTTTAGCCTTCTTTGTGAATACGGCCCCTGTTGTTTTTGAAATCAAGCTGCGTGCTCGTGTCCGCTGCTATCAGTGTCATGGATACAGTGTTCTCTGTGGCTCGCGCAGTCTTCACTCGGACGCGCGCTTCAATCTATCGCCGTTGTGGAGACTCCGGTGAAATCACAAAATAAAATGCACACAAACGTGATGAACATATTCGGGTTTGATGAGAGAGAGAAAAAACTATACGAGTGTGGTTTAGAACCCGTAACCTCTGACACGCTTGGCAAAAGATCTACAGAACTCAAACATAAGATCTGCGGATCGATGCATTTATTTACGGGTTGAGCAGAGAGGCTGCACAGTTTGACCAGCGGGCGGCAAGAACTTGCAATGTATAACTATTTATCAGACCGGCCCTCGCGGCCTCGAAACACTACCGGACCACCGGTAAAAGTCCCGACTCACCCGATTGAAACTCCGCCCCTCCACGCCATTAAAAAATATATATATATGAATCGATTTTTGGAATTCTATGAATCGATTCTGAATCGGTTAAGATTGAATCGTGATTCAAATGTGAATCGATTTTTTTGCACACCCCTAATGGTCATTTTCAAAAACTTTCCAGGGCCTTGAATTTTTATTTTTTATTTGTTTTTTTTCAGATTCACAAACTTTCAAGGATTTCAAGGACCCCTGGGATAAACCCTGATTAGCGTCTGCAGCCGCGAGAGGGCGCTCTCGCTGACGGAGTTGTTCAGAAGCGACACCGAGGATGAAGAACTCAATGGATTCAGTAATTCAGAGCTTGGTGAACTTGCTTACCGGTAACTTGCTTGTTGGACTCGCTGGCGTATGTTAATTTAGCCTATTCAGCCTCCCGGGTGTGCTTTATGCTATTGTGCAGCTGATTAACTGTTAATGTGTTACGTTAACACACCGGACACCTATTCAGCCTGTCGTTCTGTGTGCTGTTGTGGAGCTGAGTAGCTTGCCTTTCCAGATTAAATGTCTGTTCTTGGTCTTGGATTTTGTGAAATAAATTTTTACATAAATGCGATCCGGAAAATACGGCATAAAGAGAATAGCCCCATTTGACAAAGATTACGGTATAACAGTGAGGCCTTTGATTACTATCCTGAATCAATCATGTTCACATTCATTTATCTTGGAGCAGAAACAAAACACATGCAATGCGAGGAACTGCCTCCAATAACTCCAAAACAAAGCAATGATGCAAACCACTCTTATCGATCGGATTGGAAAAGGTTTAAACAACCCTTTACAATCCGAATGACATTTTAATAGGATTTGGCCCATTTATTCCGACTGACGTGGTTGCATCATGTGACTTTTTTATTTCGACTGTGCTAGTAGTGTGATTACAATCAGATTATTAGGGACAATGATGCAAAGTTAGTGTCATTATTAGGGCTGGGTAAAAAATATCGATTTCTCGATATTAATCGATTTTCATTTTTACGAACCGATATCGATTCTTAAATCTCAAGAATCGATTAGTCATCCTGTTTTCATTTGATGAATGAATGGAACATTGTAGCGCGCATCCCATCCAATAAATCGCAATAATCTTTGGGCTTTGTTACTATTGATACTAAATAAAGTCTAAAATTTCAAATTGCGTCCATTTTCTTACGAAATTCAAAAACATAATAGCGTTTTGGCGCTGTGGCGTGAGATCGCTCTGGCTCAGCTCAGCTCAAGAGAAGCAGCAGCGCATGATCTCCTCTTCTGCCTTAATAATACCAGTTACAGCGCCAAATAAACATGAATGAACGTCTGAAAGCGTGTTAAAAGATAGAGTACAACTTATCGAAATCGGTATCATGTCACATGGAATCGCTCAATCAGTGTTTCAACCGTGGAAAGACGTCAGTAAAACAACTTGTAAACAATGTCATGTAACGTCACATTTACCTCAGAAAAACCATATGTGACCATAAACTCGTTAGTCAGCTAGAAAAATTAACTCTAAAGAGGAGCATTTTGCTAAATATATGCACCATATTACATATTCATTATAATTTTTAATGTTCTTCGATATTTAATGCATGTTTGAATAAATCTGGCAAGTTTTTATGACAGCCACCATTTAAATGTTTATATTTCATATAACTTTATTATTATAAAAATAAAGTGTAAATTAAGTGTTTGTATAGCTACAAATCAGTTAATTTTTACCTTCAATATTATAGTAGGCTAATGAAGCCTATAGGCTACAACTGACTCCCATAGTTTAAAGCATTAGTTAAGAGATTTGTTTTCCTTGAGAAAATTTGCCATGTATTGTACCTGATATCCAAAATAATCAATATTGAATCGAATCGGAATCGGAATAGAATCGAATTGTGAAATTTGTGTCAATACCCAGCCCTAGTCATTATCATCTCAAAGTAGTTCAGATTTTGCTCTCATCCGGTGTCACTGCAGTTAAATAGATAACAGGGCTCGACGTTAAGCCTTGTCGTGTAAATCGTAAATCCTTGTAAATATATTTTTTTCAGAACCAATATTCTATCAGCTTTGACATATTTAAATGAGCATATTTGGGATATTATATTTATCATCTTATATTAGGGGCATTTTTTCCCTAATCTTATTAAATGTATGCTTCATCTTTTATTTCAATTTCTTAACTTTGATCAATAAATTCAATTAGAATAATAAGACACAATAGGGCTTGTAACCAATCAAATTAAATCACTAAAAATTAGATAATGCGATTGTTTTAAATCATTTTTAAATACATATAAGAAATGAAATTATTTGACTTTTAAACATTAAAACTAAAGATGACCTTAATGAGTGAGTCATTGAGTCATTAATTCAAACGATTCATTTAAACAGCTGATTCATTCAAGAATGAGTTGTTTATGAATGAGTCACTTGCAGCGTCTCAATTCACCTAGTTATACTACGCCCTAAAAGTATGTACACTTTTTGTAAAGAATAAGTAGATACTTTTGAGTGTGTAGCAGAAGAGTAGACAAGCTTTGGGACAAACTATCACGTCATACAATTGCGTCTTTAACAGTTGCTTTCTTTCATCCGGTCACAATAAACTGACCTGTCAATCATCTTTACAATCATCATTTTGGTCCAAAAATAACAAAAACTACAACTTTATTCAGCATTGTATTGTCTTCCGGTTCTGTTGTGGATCCGCGTTCACGAATCCGCAGACACACGTCAGCAGCGGCACTGAACGCGGATCCACAACAGAACCGGAAGACAATACAATGCTGAATAAAGTCGTAGTTTTTGTTATTTTTGGGCCAAAATGTATTTTCGATGCTTCAACACATTCTAACTAACCCACTCATCATGTCACATGGACTACTTTGATGATGTCTTTATTTCCTTTCTGGACAAGGACAGTATACCGTACACACATTTCCAATGGAGGGACAGAAAGCTCTCGGACTAAATCTAAAATATCTTAAACTGTGTTCTGAAGATGAACGGAGGTCTGACGGGCTTGGAGCGACATGAGGGAGAGGCATTAATGACATCATTTTCATTTTTGGGTGAACTAACCCTTTAATGGTGTCTTTACTACCTTTCTGGGGCTTGAAAGTGGTAGTTGCGTAGACCGTCAATGGAGGGACAAAAAGCTCTCATATTTCATCTTTATTTTTTAGATAAACTAAAGTTTTACAGGTTTGGAACGACTTGAGTGTGAGTGATTAATGACAGAATTGTAATTTTTGGATGAACTATCCCCTTTAAAGCTGCGGATCAGAAAGATGTGTTTAGTGTCTGACCTGGAGCATCAGTTCACAGTCCTCTCGGCCCACAAAGATCATCTCGCGGGGCAAGCGGTGGCGTGTGCCGGAGCTGCTCACCAGGAACCACGACGTCACACTCATCTTCACAACTCCATCAACTTCCTACGGGAGAAACGAGAGAAAAAAAACATCTGTCATAATCTGAAGATTGAGCTTCAACTACTGAATCACATGACAACACAACAACTGTGACCAGGACTGTTAAAACTATTATCATCTAAACCCATTTGAAACATTTTTACATTCTAATACATACTATATTAGACATGCTTTGATAACACTTTACAATAAGGTTCATTAGTTAATGTATATTAACTAACATGAACTAACCATGAGCAAGCCATTTGTTACTGTATTTGTAAATGTTAGTTCAGTGCATTAACTAATCTTATCAAGATTTTAATAAAGTATTAGTAAATGTTGAAATTAATGTTAAAGATTAATAAATGCTGTATACATGCAACATTATTAGTTCATGTTAACTAACTAACCCATGCTTTTTTAACGATCTCATGTTTGTAGTTAGATCATATGAAAAATGTTTACTTTTATATGTTAATTTATCAAGATTTTCATTGAGGAACAAAAGTAGAGCAGGATTTTATCTATTAGAAAATAATTGTATGGTGAAATTATGATATTAAATGTTGCGGTGGATGAGGTGATTCTAGGTCAATTATTAAATATGAGCAAATATGACCATGTGAACAGTCATAAATCATGCTGGATAATAAATCAATCAAACTATAGGCTAATCAATGTGTCAAAGTGGACATATTCTGGTTTGTGTTACTGGTATCACGGTAAAGTTGTTATTATATTATTCAGATAACTTAAGCATGTTATTTTAGCTTCTGGTGTGTTTAAAATTCAATTGATCAGGACAAAGTTCAAGTACAGACCTTTAGAAGAACCTCTGACAGAATCTCTATGTAAAATAATACATTAAATCAGAAACAGCCCAAAATCTGTAAAGTGTATAATACAGGTGTAGAACAGCTAAATTAACAGCTCAAACAAACCTGTCAATCAACATTCAGTAATATTAAACCCAAGAGTTAACGAACTATAAGCGTTAATCCAAACCTCACAGTCGATATTACTCGTTCATGAATCATGAGCCACAACTACAACATGACAACACAAATAAAGCCATTTAAACAGATAAACACACAGAAAAGAGAGTAAAACGAGGCAGAACTGTACAGGTAAAACACTCACACACCTTCTTTAGTGAAGCTCCGCGCGGCTAAAGCTCAACAGGAAGTTTAATCCTGACATTCCCGAACATCCGAGCGCTTAAACACACACTTTACGACATATAAATACGAGTTTAATGCGTCTCCATCACTGCGAGAGGAAGAGAACTGATGTAGCCGAGGTTTGAGGCTGTTATTCCCGATGGATCGAGAGACTTTTATCCGCGAGAGTCTGTCAGAGTGTGTCGGTAAGTGACGTCACCGCGGCCGCAGCGCCTCCACCTGAAACTCCGGCCAGAAAAACTAGATCCACCTTTAATAATCTCTGGATTACAACATAAAAGCCCGTGTGCGCGATCATAATTGTCCAAATGCATTTGTTGCATAGTTACATACAGATATTAATGTGGTATTCTATAGCACAAATAGTGTATGGACACTAAAGGCACACTTAAAATGTGTACATGTTTTTACGTAAGATAAGAAAATAAGTGGAAGCAAGTTATGAGATCAGATCAGGCGTGTTGTGGTTGTTTTACGATAAAACTAGTGCTGTTAAAATATATTAATCGCGATTAATCGCATCTAACATAAAAGTTTATTTGTAGGATATACGTGTGTGTTCTGTGTGTGTGTGTGTGTGTGTGAGAGAGAGAGAGAGAGAGAGAGAGAGAGAGAGAGAGAGAGAGAGAGAGAGAGAGAGAGAGAGAGAGAGAGAGAGAGAGAGAGAGAGAGAGAGAGAGAGAGAGAGTGTGTGTGTGTGTGTGTGTGTGTGTGTGTGAGAGAGAGTGAGAGAGAGAGAGTGTGTTGTGTGTGTGTGTGTGTGTGTGTGTGTGTGTGTGTGTGTGTGTGTGTGTGTGTGTGTGAGAGAGAGAGAGAGAGAGAGAGAGAGAGAGAGAGAGAGTTTGTGTGTGTGTGTGTGTGTGTGAGAGAGAGAGAGAGAGAGAGAGAGAGAGAGAGAGAGAGAGAGAGAGAGAGAGAGTGTGTGTGTGTATGTATCATATGTATACGTGTATAATATTAAATCTTTATGTTAGATGTGATTAATCACGATTAATGGATTTGACAGCACTAGTTAAACATGGTAATATGACGCTTTAACCTTTATTTTACATTAAAAATCTACAACACTCCAAGTTTACAGTAAAGGGATCTGATATTAGAATCATTTAACATTAATGAGTCATATTCATTAATATGGAAGAATTATTGTTATCATTATTATGGTAGGCTATGTAATTTACATTACATTTACATTGAATCATTTAGCAGACGCTTTTATCCAAAGCGATTTACAATGAGGAGAGCAATAGAAGCAGTGAAACTAGCAATAGGACAACAATATAAGTGCTGTGACCCTTCCCAGATTAGTCATTTTTTTTAAATAGATATAAAATAGAAGTGAAGAGAATTATGACATAGGCTACTAAGTCATTATTATGACATATGACATAAAAAGTGATAATTGATGCAAGAAGTCACGATTATGATATACAAAGATATAAAAGATTATGACTTTCAGGCTATCATAATTCTGACTTTTAACAGTCATAATTTTAACTTTGTGTCAATATCTTTTAAATTTCGACTCGACTTTGTATCTGATAAATTACTTGGTATGTCATCATTTCGACTTTTTATGTCATAATTATGATTTACAAAAGGATGTTTTTTTCCCCTTATGTTGTCTTTTATATAGGCTACATTAATTTGATATAGCCTAATTTTCTTATAATGGTCTTCCACGAGGTTGCGTTGAGTTTGCTCACCGCTAGATGACGCTGTTCGCCACAGGAAGATCATCTGATCAAGATCAAGATGAATTCAAATCATTAAAAATCAAGTTCAATAAAATGAACAACACCATTTTACTGACCCTCAATAGCCAAGTCTTGGAAAACTAGATGGAATTTTGTGATTTCTAGACTTCTAAAACAAAATATAGGCTATATTGAGTGTAAACTATATTTTAAAAACCCATATCCAGTAAAAAATAAATAAATAAATAAATAAATAATAATAATAAAAAATAATATTTAGCCTATTATTATTTTAAAAAAACTATTATTGTAGTAGACAGTGGGGGCAAATAAAGTCAGTAAAGCTGCGAACTGGTGATGATAAACAAAACAAACATGGAAGTACCGGAAGTTCCAACTCATGACATTTAATGCACATTATGAGGTGAAGTTTACTCTCAGATCAACAAGAACACGTTATTTACAAGCAACACATGCTTTCTGTTATCATTTGTAAGAACCTTCAGAAGAAAGCATGTAAATCTCATGCATGAATGGATGAACCAGGGTGTAAACGGGCTGATAACTGTGAGAGTCAGCTGACGCCTCTGTCGTGTTCAGTTGTGTGATGTGTTTCTGCGTGATCCACAGCTGGTGTGTGTCCTCTGGGGTTTGTCCTGCTCTTCATCCAGCTGTGAGGGTTTGTAACCAACATCTGGCCCACAGACTCCACATCTGCTTCATCTGACCGACTGAGACACCGGGGCTAGTTGTCACACGCCCGACGCCAATCAATACTTGTTTATTTTTCAAAGTCAATTTCTGTATTTGTTTATCTACTTATTTCTCAGGGAAAAGGCGGAGCTTGTTGATGTTCTTGAACTGTGGTAATCTTCCATAAATGTATAGACTATTTTATGGCACTTGTGCAATATTTTTAAAGTCCCCCTGTGGTAATCCAGCTTTTAATGTTGTTTATGTGTCTATGTGATGTTTTTATTCTGCTTTAAGACACACCATGTGTAAGTTCATAAGTCGACAGCATTGCTGAGTATTTCCTCCTTAAAACTGCAGTGAACCAAAGACAGTCGGTTTGAAATCGCTGGTGTTTCTGACGTCACAAACGACCTTGTAACCAATCAGATCAACGTGTGATCGTCAACCAGTGGATCTCTGAGCTGAGTGAGTGAGTGGAGGCGGGGCTCATTTGCATATTAATAGAACCACGCATACTAAATAAAGCAAGTGTGTCGAGTTACATTCAAGATATTTTAAGGCATGAAGAATTTTTTTCGAGGAAAGAACGCTTAAATAGGCTATGCAATTTTGGTGATCAAAGATGAGTTTTAAGGGATGAAATTATTAACTACAGGGGGACTTTAAATTGCACAACAGTTGTGAAACATACAATAATATATATGCAGTGTCAAAAATAGAAAGCTAACCTGCAAAAATATCTGGTAACACTTTACAATGAGGTTTGATTTTTAGGTTAACAACATTAGTTAACATGTAATGCACAATACTTCTAAAGCATTTATTAAAGGGATAAAAGTGTCTCAAACGGCTCCGTGGGTTAATAAAGGCATTCTGAAGTGAAGCGATGCGTTCGTGTAAGAAAAATATCCAACTTTATCGACTAAAATAACTATCTTCCAGTAGGCGGCCGTACACATCGACTTACGCCACAAGAGAGTGCTGTTGAAGTCGTTGGCGTTCTTCTTCTTCTTCCGCTCTAGAAAAGTCTATGGCAGCCCATAGAACCGCTTGCGGGAAAGTTATGAAGTTTGGCCAAGGGGGTAATCCATCGACCGGAAGTTGAAGCCGGCCGGGTGCCGCCATGTTGTAGCAGAACTTCACTTGCGTTAGCATTTCCATTGACTCCCATTCATTTTGGCGTCACTTTGACAGCGAATAACTTTACATCTGAGGCGTTTAAAGACTCCATTTGTCCATTATTTATTTCTAAAGAAACACGACAATGTATAAAGTGCTCCATTACCTTCTATGTTACATTATGGCCCCGTAGAAACAGATTTAGTAAAAATAGGCTAACGATTGCGTCATAACCACTCGACTCTCTTGTCGCGCTGTACAGAAATTACCGTACAGACAGGAGGAGAAGCTCGCAGGCAATCGGCGGGACGTCCCGTCAAGGGAGAAGCCCATAGATAATGAGTCCATAAAAGCAACGGAATACTTACTCCTGCTCACTCACGCCAAAGAACTCTTTGCTCAAGTTCCCCGTCTCTGCAAGATTAACGTTGGCAATTTTCACGCACAGCTACTAGAAGAGTAACGTCTGTCAGACAGGTTGCTCACGTCATCAAGCTTAGTTTGAGTCGGTTTGAGTCTGCGCGTCAGGAACGCAAGTGCTCAAAAATCGCTAAAAATGGGCTTCAACTGTCTCAACTGAGTTCCAATGAGATGGCTCTGTCCACTTCTTATACTGTCTATGAGTTTGGCGCATTGATAGAGGACAGTCTGAACACTCACCAGAGCAAATTTGGAGTCTCTAATAGCGCCACCAACAGTCAAGTTGCACTTATGTTTATGCTAATAACTTTTAAACCGTAAGGGCTAGAAACAAAACAAATTTTCCCGCCGATTTCTTGGCTCAAGGCGATTCGATTGCATTAAAATGTGTCCGCCATTTTGAATTCTCCGAAAAAACTACTTATTCAAACTCCTCCTAGGTCATTGCACCAATTTTCTCGAAAATTTTATCAGATCATATTCAGACCATGCTGACAAAAAGTTACAGAATTATGTCGATTCGTCAAACCGTCCTCGAATACCGCGCAAACTAGTTTTACGTAGCGCTTGTGAAAACAGACGTAAGACTGTATCTCCACATCGCTTTATCGTATTCAGGCCAAACTTGGTACATGTCATCACAAGCATGACCTGAGGCTACATGCTGTGTTTTGGCACAGCGCCACCTACTGGTCCGGAGATACGAAAAATTATATTTTTGCTTATAACTTCTGAACGGTTTGTCCAAATATCATAAAAGTGGTCTTGTTAGATTCAGGGCGTCATGACGAGTCGACTGATATCCAATTTGTCCATATCGACCATTTTGAATTTTGTACCAAAATAATGTATAAACGCATGAACGTATCATTACGAAAGTCGTCATGGGTCATCATTATAATGCCCTGGAGGAACCTTTTAAGTTTCGAACCAGCTAGTGGTAAAATTAAATTTCAAATGCTTATAACTCTAAGTGTGGTTGACTTATTTTCACGGGAGTCATCTCCTTAGGTTTCTGAATCCTTGCCGAGTCCAACGATACCAAACATGCTAGGTTTCGCCTTACGGTTTGTGTAGCGTTGCGATTTAGCACTTAAAAAACATTTGCCAATATCTTCGAAACGTTAGACCGATCAAGACGAAACCACTGTAGGAAGTTCGGAAACATAGGTCGTTGGCTATACGCTAATGCCCAAATGTCAAAATATTAATAGTAAGTGGCAAGAAAATGCATTGCAAACAAAGTCAGATGTGGGTCATTTTTTATGTGTTTATACATATAAATGCCCATAACTCCAAAACTAAATGGGCTCACTCTGAGAACACATTAAAAAAATAGTGGGATTGTGCCTCTTGTCGGCGCTATAATAGAACAAAAAATGAAATTGCCATTGACTTCAATACAGTATTGTGATATAAAATGCTATACTTTATGAACGCATTAGCGTATCGTTACGAAACTCGTATGAGTCATCGGCACCATGGCTTGAAGGTACTCAAAAAGTTTTGGGGCAGAGCCAAAAATGCTAATAACTTTTGAATAAATTTGCCTATTGTAATGACACTGGTCTATATAGATTCCTTGGGTTATGCCGAAAACATAGATACCAATTTCTGCCATCTTTATTTTCTTTTAAAACCTACTTTTTTTTCTAACTTCTCCTACACCGATTTAAATATTTATTCTGTTTCAATACACTTAGAAGAACATAGATGTATAGAAGCAGTGTGAAATACCACAAAATAATCAGCCAAAACAATTTAGCCAAAACTTTATTTGATCAATTCAATGGAAAAAAAGTCTAAATCATAAAAACAGCTGAATAATGTATATAAATTGAATATTATTTGTATCCTAAAGATGGTGTTCTTTAGTTTACATATTAAAAAAGTCAACAAAATTAAAGAATAAAAAAGTAAAATATCTTCCCATTTAAAAAAAAAGATCAGAGGACAGTATGAAAAAGCATAATTCATATGAAACATCAGATCTAAAAAATAGGAAAAAAATAGTTTTGCATATATAATAAGGTAATAAGGAGAAAAGAGAGGAAAGGCCTTTACATTCATTTATGTATGCCGACCAACATCTGTGTGGTGATTATTACACAATCCATCCACAATGACCAGAGCATTTCACAATAATAATAATATTTTTGTAAACACACTTAACCAGCAAACAGATTCTCACATGTACAAAGGTCATATTTGTGGTTGTTGAGTGAAATGGCAAGTGCTTCAAAACAGTTCCATGGTATTTACATCATGTGTAGAAATGTGGCTTTAAATTACCTTCAACAAGTTGTACAAAACACTTTTAATGTAAATGAATCTGTTTAGCATGGTGTGTGTGTGTGAGTGTGAGTGAGTGTGTGTGTGAGTGTGAGTGAGTGAGTGTGTGTGACTGAGTGTGTGAGTGAGTGTGTGTTTGTATGAGAGTGAGTGAGTGTGTGTGAGTGTGAGAGTGAGTGAGTGTGTGTGTGAGTGTGAGTAAGTGAGTGAGTGTGTGTGTGTGTGTGTGTATGTGTGTGTGTGTGTGAGTGTGTGTGTGAGAGTGAGTGTGTGTGTGTGAGTATGTGAGTGAGTGAGTGTGTGTGTGTGAGTGTGTGTGTGAGTGAGTGTGTGTGTGAGTGAGTGAGTGAGTGAGTGAGTGAGTGAGTGAGTGAGTGAGTGAGTGAGTGAGTGAGTGAGTGAGTGAGTGAGTGTGTGTGTGAGTATGTGAGTGAGTGAGTGAGTGGGTGTGTGTGTGTGTGTGTGTGTGTGTGTTTGTGCGAGCAAGCAAGTGTGTGTGTGTGTGTGTGTGTGTGTGAGTGTGTGTGTGTGTTTGTGTGTGTGTGCAAACGAGCGAGCAAGTGTGTGTGAGTGTGAGAGAGAGAGTGTGTGTGTGTGTGGAGCACACAGTAAATCACACGTCATTTCTAGTTGTTAATATATAAGTAACGAACGAATCCAAGCTAAAACACAAAGTCATTTCGAAGAATTGCAAGGTTTATTCCACTTCGATGGTCCCTCGGATTGTAATTGTTTATTGGTCGCTAAAGTACCTGTGCAAAACACTGACAAAAACACACGCAACACAACCGGAAAAACACGGAGAATAAAACAGGACGAGGATTAATGAGATGCAGAATCCGAATGATTTGATTCGCCGTTTAAAAGCTGCTTAATATGAGACACTGAAACACGTCAGGCTCACGTAATGAAGAAAAGAGGATTAGGGTTTTTTTGGCGGCACATTTAAATCATAAATTTGTCAGGATGGATTTATTTTTCAAAGCAATTTCTGCAATTTCTTCAACCTTTTGTGACAACATGCCCCAGTAACCATCCTCGATAACAATTATAATATATTATGACTAAGTAATGGCTTTTATGGAGTATTTAAATGGTAAAACAGTTATGAAACAAAATGGTAAGGTGACAGAAAACAGATATTGCCATAATTCAATTGTATAAAATTGCATCATATAATAAATTAAGAATTATTTCAGTGACGCATTTAAACTTTAATTTTAAAATTCCTTATTGTCATGGATACATTTCAATTGTAACTCTCATTAAATTCTAATCACTGTAATTAAGTCATTTTTAGGCTTTATTTTCATAAAGCAACATAACATTGCTTATTTCTCTCTTTAGATTGTAGGATAAGATTTATAATTCACACATGTTCAGGTTTCGCTCCTTTGCTGTATTGATGGTGGTGAGTTTTAATAAGTTAATTTCTAGTTAAGTGGAATTCAGTCATTTCAATAATTAATACAAAAAATAATTTATCTACATTTCTACTATATTGCACATTCAATGCAAATGCTCATAAATGCAAGTGAGATTTAGATCAAAAGTACTTTAGGGGGTCGAGACACAGTTCAGTCTATACAATTTCAATTGGTCAATTGGTGTTTTTGAATGGAAATGAAATAATATTTGGCATGACGTTAGTTATAATTCTTCAATACGAGACTAAAGATGTGCTGTGCAATCCATTTCTTTCGACGCGATATAAATGGACATTGATTCGGCAGTATGAGTGGAGATGTGTTTCAGCGTTCCCTCTCTTATCCTCAGAAAACATGATGATTCAAGGCCACAGAAGCAAGAAGAGCTGATTCAGGACAAACATCACAGATCCAGCGCGCCGTTACGCTGATCTCAGAGCAGTTTCTGTGAACCTCGTGTGAAACGTCTGCCTAAAGTGTTGGAGATGTCCGCGTTCATGCCGTTCCACTGGCGGAGTAGGAGAACTGTGGGAAATGTGGCCTCCTCTCGCTGTCGAACGGCTCCAAGCTGTCACCTGTGCACAACACACACCACACACACACCTCACATAAATCCTGTCACCTCAAATCAACTCCACTTATGCAAAGTAGGCATGTGAGCCGTACAGTAACACTTGTTATACCATGGTCTGGGTGAATACTCGATTCTGATTGGCTGCAGGGTGTCCATTAAAAAGTGATAGAGGACACCTAGTGAAGGAGTTCAGGGGGGCCGGTTTCACAAAGCTATGTTAGATCGCTCTATAGTGTTAGACAAGTCTAAAATTTGCTCATAGACTAGTCTAATGCAAGTTAGACTGTTTCACAAAAATAAAGACTGACTTAATTTAGACCAAAAAAATTAGACATCTTAGGCTAACTTAGGTCTCAGACTCTGTTACCTTGGCAACCAGCAGTAACAATCAGTTACATTACAAACAGCCGAATGAAAAGGGAAATATACCATATTTACCCTTACCATATATATTCATCACCAATATCAGTGTCTTTAAGTTTCTCTTGGGGTCCTCCTCCCGTTTTTGGATATTTCCTCTTAAATATTTCTTTTTTGGCATCTTGTACCATTGTATCTTTTCTGTACGTCTTTAACGCTCCGCTCAACGGTCGGATTAACGCTGTTAACTGTCGTAGCAATCTTTGTCCAAATTAAACATTTCTTCTTGTTAATACATTCTCCGCTAAATTTCCCAAGTAAAATGTCCTTGTAACTGTTACACTCCTCCAACACACACACATGTGTGGGGTAAACTGCACCGAGCGGGTGAATGCGCTTACTCGATACGCCATGTTTTTTGTTTTGAAAAGTGTCTTATTTTACCCAGAATGCATTGCAGTGTAGTCCTACTTAAGATAGCGAGAGTCTTCAGTGCTTTGTGCAACGGTCTGATTTAGATGTCTATCTGAAGTCTGACTATCTACTATATCTAAGCCGTAGTCAAAGTCTCTCTTTGTGAAACCGGCCCCAGGGGAAACTGACTGTTTACCGTTCGAAATTAATGAATAAATGCGCTGGCTACATCAGCTGTGAGTAACCATAGCAACAGGCAGTCAACGTATCCGTTTACAAGTTATTGTATCAAAACAAACATCTAGTTAGCCGTTATACTACGCCGACATGTGTGTTTTAATTATAGGTTAAACAAACGAAAGTGTAACGCCCATGGCTAGACAAGCCTAACTTACATGAAGAAAAATATGTTAACTTTCTGGCTCGTAAGTGAGCTAAACTGAAGGGTTCTCCGAGCTGAGCGCACTATAAATATCTCCGCTTGCTAAATAAACCGTCAGGTGTTTTTCACTTTCTTAATTTATTTCACTTCTACAAAAATCTGCCAAATGTGTTCTTTAAAACAAGACCAATCTTACATCTATATTCCAAAGCATTCTTACAACCATTTAAGTTCGGATTGTGTTGCAAAAGGGGGCGCGACACTTAAGAGGTTAAACAGAAGTCATGGCTGGACAATTTCAAGTTCCTAGTCACCCTGGTGTGCTAAAAAATGTGAATATTAATAGGAATATACTTCAGAGATATTTTACTCATCATGATTTCTAGGGGTGGCCATAATCGTGGCCAACATGCATTGGAGAAAAGAGATTTTCCCAGCACTTTCGATTATTTTACTTCAATGAAAGGGTCGATTTTTGTGATTTTTTTTTAATGGAAGATCAAAAGGATAAACAATGCAGATTTATTTTCACAGCCTACTATGATCATATTTACCAAGAGTGCCAATAATTCTGACCACAAAACTCTCGCCCCATATTAGCGTCCTGCAGAAGTGTGTGTGTGTGTGTGCCGGTACCTTGTCCCGGTGGTGTGATGGTGATGGTCTGTCCGGTGAACTCCTCATCGAAATATCTGGTGTCTGTTTCTGATGTGACCTGCGGTTTGAACGGAGGATCCAGCTGAGGAACAGAGCGACCGTTAGACGATCCCGATCAAACATTTACACTTTACAACCACTCGACTTCACACACTGAAGAATCTGCCGTGGGATTTACTTGGGGACAAGTTCACTCAGAAATTGCTAGTAAATTTCACAAATAACAGCAAAGAAATGGCAAGTGACATTTAATTAAACATGAAATTTTGAAGTGGTGGATGGATGACATGCACATATATATATATATATTAGGGGTGTAACAATATATAGTATTGTGTCACAATACAAAACTGCAACAATATGTATCGTAGATAGTTCACCCAAAATAAAAATGTTAATGTAACATTACATTAAACTACTATATATAATGTTGAATATACTGTATAATAATGCACTGGGGAAATATGTGTGTGTCCTGATAATGCCAGATGTCTGATGTTAAGAGTAAAAAGTGGTTTATTTTAAAAATATCTAGTGCAAAGAGTGCAAGCGTATTCATCTACAATAATTCTGTATTTTCAGCTTCAGAATCATGAATATTGTTATTCTGGTGTCTCTATTATCCTGTGCTTTGGGTTTCAGCACCAAGTCCAAGTCTTTTCATTTACACACACAATGTAATATCAAATTTAGCATTTTAATCAACAGTACATTATATCATGTCTTGAAGTATCACGATAATATGGTATCTTTTTACCTTCTTCTCATAAACATCTTGCCACTCAATTCCAGTGAAGAATTTGTGCTGCATGATTTCTTTAGCATCATCAGGGCCGCCACCTAACCTACAAACACCCAGAACACACACACACACACCACATTACACATCTACATCCTACACCAGAAACACTTGGCATGATAAATATCATGATAAATATGCAGTATGAATAGTAGTATGGCCGTATGCTGTTCCAAACGTGTTTTTTTTAAGTTTACGCAGATGATAACGTTTTTCAAATGTTTCAACGCTTGCATGGATAGCAGTGTTGGAAACGTGCTGAACCGACCGCTGCTTGGGGTCCTTCTTGAGCAGGCCTGACAGCAGAGATTTGCCCTCCGGTGCGAGTGTGCGAGGGAAGCGGATGTCCTCCATCAGGATGAGCTCAAACAGACGCTCGTGATCCTGGTTATAGAAGGGCAGGCGACCGCACATCATCTCGTACATCACCACTCCCAAACCCCACCAGTCCACCGCACGCCCGTAGTCATTGTCCTCCAGCACCTGCACACACACACACACACACACACACACACACACGTTTTATAGGTGTACAAACTGTATATTCGATCCCCTACCCATCACTTTCTGCATGTTTACTACTCCTGGGCAACGATTAATCACATCCAAAATAAAAGTTTGTATTTACATAATATATGTGTGTGTGTGTGTGTACTGTGTATAGTTATTTTGTATGTGCATATGCATGTATATATATTTAAGAAAAATGTGTTATTTATATATAAAATATTTATATATAATATAAATGTTGTATATATATATATAGCATATACATGCAAATATGCATGTGTGTGTATTTATATATACAAAATAATTATACACAGTACACACACATATATTATGTAAACACAAACTCTTATTTTCGATGTGATTAATCGTTGCCCAGCAGTATTTTTTTCATTTTCAAAAAACATCACTTAGTATGATTTATAAGCTGTTTGTGGACCAAAAAATTTCCCCACAAGGACAAGGATTTCGGATATTGCCATCTTTGTGGGGACATTTTGTTTTGAGTTTCTTCCGTGAACGAACACGTCACAATATTCCTCATTATAATAATTCATATGCAGAATAAAGGGGCGGGGCATTTCCCAAACACACTCGAAGAACTCGACCAATCACAACACACTGCTCCAGCCGACCAATCAGAGCACAGTGTGCTTTTCAGAAGGAGGGGCTTCATAGAGACAGGAAGTAAACAGAGCGTTACTGACAGACTGGGAAGAGAGGAGCCGCAACAATGGAGAAAATAATGTGTTTTGCATGAAAACCTGTTCTAGTAGAACCAAAAATCAAAGGGCATCATAGGTCCTCTTTAAATAAAGTGCAATAACTGCGAGCTGATGGTGCTGGTGTGTTTGCGTGTTCTCCCACCGAGTGTTACTGAAAACCCGACCGCGGGTCACGGGGACAGAATGACTCAGTCCGTGCGGTCAGTGGAAAGGTGAAGCCGTGGAGCTGCTAGAATTACTGACCGCTGTCTATTTCCAGCGCCGCTGTCATGTGACTCACGGAGAGAGACAGCTGAGCCTGCAGCTGCCCCATATATGTAGAAGAACAGCACAGCTGTGAAGCTGCCAGGAACCCAGGAGCCCTCGACACACGCAAGCACAGAGACGGGGGACCCACGCCTTCTGATGGACTGTGTAAACAGCCGTAAACACATCTGAACGGCACAGCGCTGACGTCAACGAGTCTCTATTTCCATGGCATGACCAGTAATGTAGTGTAAAATCCACACGTAACACCCAAGCGGCAACCTCTCTTGAATCCAACATGGAAGTGTCTTAAACTGCAGTTCCTCCACTGGCCACTAGAGACCGGCTGCAGAAGAGAGTCAATCCCATAGACCCGCATGTTAAAACGCCCAAATTTAAAGCAGAAAAATCATGTTTACAGCCTGGTGCAAAAAGTGGTTTTGGTCTATATAGCTAATTTTGCCCTTCATGTTGACTGTTAGGGTGGTGAATTTTTTTTAACTCATCCGTTTAAATTATATTAAGCCTTAAAGTTCTGTATAATTAAGGGCGTGGCCACTTGAGTGACAGGTGGATTGCCACTGATGTCATTATTAGCCGTTGCTGTCTGTTAGCGTCGCGTCACCTCAGCTAATTTTTTACAGCCTTTTTGCCCATTTCCGTTTATCCGGGAGTGACGCACTGATGCCAAGATGGCGACGGCCGGCTCCACCCACTTTGGGCTTCAAAAATGCTCATCAGAAACACTACGGGTGACGTCACGAACACTACGCCCATATTTTTTTTACAGTCTATGGTAACAGCATATTACAGCTCCAAGTTGTCAGAACTTGAGTAGTTTTGATCAATATTTTGAAATTGGTTTTGATTCAAATTAATTGGTAAAAAGTTGTGAAATTTGGCACACAGATAGAAGACTGTCCGAACATAAACCACACCAATTTTGGAGTCTCTAACTCAATCCCTCTAGCGCCACCAACTGTCCAAAGTTGCACTCACGTTTATGCTAATAACTTTTGAACCGTAAGGGCTAGATTATACTCTCAACCGCCGCAACGTCATAGAATGTCTCTGAACAGATTCACGCCCACTTTTAGGGGAAAAATAAGCTAGACTACCCAATGACTTCAATACGAAATATTGCAAAATATCACTAAACAACGTCCATACACAGCCGACAGGCATGAATAATTAAGAAATCACTAAGATTACACATGTCAAGTAATTATATGTCCACCCTGCCTGCCATAGAGCGTGAACGATACATCAACAAACTTCATTTGGTCAATTTAAAAATATGTCCCTTCATTCTCCCAGCGTCAAATTGGTGTTACAACCCCACCCAGTGGCCAGAGGTGTCTTAGCCGGACATTTACTCGTAGTCGTACCTCATCGATTCACCATGGTAAGCCAGTGAATGATTTTACTTCGTTTTTGAAAGTAAACATCTTTAAATGTATATATTACCGGTATGTTGAATTCGGCGAAGAGCACGGCAAATTAGATGCAACGCGAATCTTGGTGCACGTCATCATCACAAGCATGACCTGAGGCTACATGCAGCGTTTTGGCACAGCGCCACCTACTGGTCAGGAGATACGAAAATAGCTATTTTTGCTTCTGAACGGTTTACCCAAATGTCATAAAACTGGGCTTTTTTTTTTTTTGATTCGCTCCCAATTTTTGAGGGGTGTCGGCAATTTAGAAATGTGTCAAAATGAATATTATATGGTAATATTATTATAATATATTATATGGTAATATATTGAAAAATAATAATTTAAGTAATAATAATAATAATTTTCAAGTAAGTTTCAAGAATTGAATTTTTCAATAGCTTGTGTTTTTTCCCAATTATTCATTTTATTATACTTATAAATTAATATTTATATTTTATAATTATATATATTATTACAACTTCTCAGCTATTTTTACCTGATAAAATATTTTGAGCTTGACATAAAGAAAATATATATTCAATATAAAAATTCCCATGTTTTTTTTTTAATCACGTAATTAATTTCTCTGACACTCGCTTATTTAGAAATCACACTCGTATATCCCGACCGCGGGAAGCCTGATTCTTAAATAAAGGTTTTTGAGGTAAGACATTAAAACAAGAAATATGATGTCAGTTTACATGTTTTACCGTATTGAATACATCTGTATTCAATAGCTTTTAATCAGTGATAATTGTATTATACGTGTTGCCTATGTGATGCTTTTTTTCTCTTCTTTTTTCTGCGTGACATTGTAAAGCACATTGGTCAACTTATGTTGTTTTAATTGTTCTATAAAATAAAGTTGCTATTGCTTATTCTAAAACATATTTTGTTATGTTTAAATCATTTAAAGCCATAATCGGCCCCCTAGTGGATCCTGCATGAGAGCCGTCCATTTTTCTAAGTGTCGCCGTGCATTTAAAACACTTCCACCTGTTTTCCTCTGAAATTCTCTCATCCCTCCTTCACTTCTCTCTCTCTCCGTGGAATATTTCCAGACGTAACAGCATTCCTGAGCTCCACACACACACAACAAGGTCATTGTTTACAGCGGAACAACCTGTAACACGGCCCGGGCCGAGCTCCAGAGAGGCCACCGTCGCCATGGCAACGCTCCCGAATTCTCCCGCTCCGGGCCCTGTTGTCATGTCAACACGGGGATTGAACCGGAGTTCCCGGGAAGAGGACAAAAAGAGAGAGAGAGGTGACACGGGATCCTGGACGTCCCATATGAGGGACGAAAATCATCTTTCTGTTCCAAACCCGCATGACTCTCGTTTTAGTGGAGAGCAATAGATATTTAACAGAATATTAAAAGAGATATTCATTAAAATAGATATTCCTATGATTTTCTATGAGGAACAGACATGAAATTTAAGCTCCATATGACTTCATAAAACTAATATCGCGCAAAAGTCATATAGACGACAGTTATGATGCCTTCATGTTGCTTATTGAGTCATTTTGGGAGCTTTTATTGAAGAGATACTTAAAAGATAACTCATATGGGTTATAAATTATGAGAGAATTAGCGAGTTATTTCTTCACTTCAGAGATTTTGTCAGCTGGATTGATTCGACGGACAATATTTACTCTAAGTACACCTGAAATATTTCAAAAATTTAACTAAATGTTTTAACATTTAACAACAAATTATTATAATTATGAAATTATTACAAGCATGATGTTCTCAAGTTAATTAAAATGTAAAATTGTAAAATAAATAAAAAATATTTGTTTACTTGCATGTCATGTGACCATTAACCGAAATCAGAGAAGCATGAATATGCAAATTAGTTATTGAAATATTTACATAAAATCTCAGGGAAAAAAATATTTGAAACATTTAACAACATAATAATTTTTTATAAAAAAAAAATCCGTTATTTAACTTAAATAAGTTAAGTTAGTGAATTATTTAAAATTTATTATCAGCTTTTTATAAAGTCACAAATCTCCAGCAGTTCTACTTTGGGAAACTCTGCTTTAAAGGAATAGACTATTAAAATAAAATGTGATCCGAGAGACGAGAGCTTACAGTATCAGGGAGGAACATTTCCAATATATAAAACTCCTTACTATATACTAACCCTAAACCCTACAAATACACATTTAAGAACAATAAAACGCCAGTTCTGGCGGATCCTCAGATGCACATGCGCCCCAGCAGAGGGCAGGATATGATGCGGACAGAGGATGCCCCGCTCAGGGAACAGGATATGATGCGGGAGCTGTGGGTGTCAGCTGGAGCCGGTGGCCCTTCAGGACGAACACTCACGTTTTCAAATATAAAATATATAAAACACACACACACACACACACACACACACACACTCGCTCTCTCTCTCTCTCTCTCTCTCTCTCTCACACACACACACACACGCGGGTCTTGTGTTTGGTCATGTGATTCTGTGAATGGTTTGGTCATGTGATTCTGTGATGGTTTGGTCATGTGATTCTGTGATGGTTTGGTCATGTGATCATGTGATGGTTTGGTCATGTGATTCTGTGATGGTTTGGTCACGTGATTCTGTGATGGTTTGGTCACGTGATTCTGTGATGGTTTGGTCACGTGATTCTGTGATGGTTTGGTCACGTGATTCTGTGATGGTTTGGTCATGTGATTCTGTGGTGGTTTGGTCACGTGATTCTGTGATGGTTTGGTCACGTGATTCTGTGATGGTTTGGTCATGTGATTCTGTGATGGTTTGGTCATGTGATTCTGTGAATGGTTTGGTCATGTGATTCTGTGATGGTTTGGTCATGTGATTCTGTGATGGTTTGGTCATGTGATTCTGTGGTGGTTTGGTCATGTGATTCTGTGATGGTTTGATCATGTGATTCTGTGATGGTTTGGTCATGTGATTCTGTGATGGTTCGGTCATGTGATTCTGTGATGGTTTGGTCATGTGATTCTGTGATGGTTTGGTCATGTGATTCTGTGATGGTTTGGTTATGTGATTCTGTGAATGGTTCGGTCATGTGATTCTGTGGTGGTTCGGTCATGTGATTCTGTGGTGGTTTGGTCATGTGATTCTGTGATGGTTTGGTTATGTGATTCTGTGATGGTTTGGTCATGTGATTCTGTGGTGCTTTGGTCATGTGATTCTGTGGTGGTTCGGTCATGTGATTCTGTGATGGTTTGGTTATGTGATTCTGTGATGGTTTGGTTATGTGATTCTGTGATGGTTTGGTTATATGATTCTGTGATGGTTTGGTCATGTGATTCTGTGGTGCTTTGGTCATGTGATTCTGTGGTGGTTTGGTCATGTGATTCTGTGGTGGTTCGGTCATGTGATTCTGTGGTGGTTCGGTCATGTGATTCTGTGATGGTTTGGTTATGTGATTCTGTGATGGTTTGGTTATGTGATCCTGTGATGGTTTGGTTATGTGATTCTGTGATGGTTTGGTCATGTGATTCTGTGGTGGTTTGGTCATGTGATTCTGTGGTGGTTTGGTCATGTGATTCTGTGAATGGTTTGGTCATGTGATTCTGTGAATGGTTTGGTCACGTGATTCTGTGATGGTTTGGTCATGTGATTCTGTGGTGGTTTGGTCATGTGATTCTGTGGTGGTTTGGTCATGTGATTCTGTGAATGGTTTGGTCATGTGATTCTGTGGTGGTTTGGTCATGTGATTCTGTGGTGGTTTGGTCATGTGATTCTGTGGTGGTTCGGTCATGTGATTCTGTGGTGGTTCGGTCATGTGATTCTGTGATGGTTTGGTTATGTGATTCTGTGATGGTTTGGTTATGTGATCCTGTGATGGTTTGGTTATGTGATTCTGTGGTGGTTTGGTCATGTGATTCTGTGAATGGTTTGGTCATGTGATTCTGTGAATGGTTTGGTCACGTGATTCTGTGAATGGTTTGGTCATGTGATTCTGTGAATGGTTTGGTCACGTGATTCTGTGATGGTATGGTCATGTGATTCTGTGGTGGTTTGGTCATGTGATTCTGTGGTGGTTTGGTCACGTGATTCTGTGGTGGTTTGGTCATGTGATTCTGTGATGGTTTGGTCACGTGATTCTGTGGTGGTTTGGTCATGTGATTCTGTGGTGGTTTGGTCACGTGATTCTGTGATGGTTTGGTCATGTGATTCTGTGATGGTTTGGTCATGTGATTCTGTGATGGTTTGGTCATGTGATTCTGTGATGGTTTGGTCATGTGATTCTGTGGTGGTTTGGTCATGTGATTCTGTGGTGGTTTGGTCATGTGATTCTGTGGTGGTTTGGTCACGTGATTCTGTGATGGTTTGGTCACGTGATTCTGTGATGGTTTGGTCATGTGATTCTGTGATGGTTTGGTCACGTGATTCTGTGATGGTTTGGTCATGTGATTCTGTGGTGGTTTGGTCATGTGATTCTGTGGTGGTTTGGTCATGTGATTCTGTGATGGTTTGGTCATGTGATTCTGTGAATGGTTTGGTCATGTGATTCTGTGGTGGTTTGGTCACGTGATTCTGTGATGGTTTGGTCACGTGATTCTGTGATGGTTTGTTCATGTGATTCTGTGAATGGTTTGGTCATGTGATTCTGTGATGATTTGGTCATGTGATTCTGTGATGATTTGGTCACGTGATTCTGTGATGGTTTGGTCACGTGATTCTGTGATGGTTTGTTCATGTGATTCTGTGAATGGTTTGGTCATGTGATTCTGTGGTGGTGTGTTCATGTGATTCTGGGAACGGTTTGGTCACGTGATTCTGTGATGGTTTGGTCATGTGATTCTGTGAATGGTTTGGTCATGTGATTCTGTGGTGGTTTGGTCATGTGATTCTGTGATGGTTTGGTCATGTGATTCTGTGAATGGTTTGGTCATGTGATTCTGTGATGGTTTGGTCATGTGATTCTGTGGTGGTTTGGTCATGTGATTCTGTGATGGTTTGGTCATGTGATTCTGTGAATGGTTTGGTCATGTGATTCTGTGATGGTTTGGTCATGTGATTCTGTGATGTTTGGTCATGTGATTCTGTGATGATTTGGTCATGTGATTCTGTGATGGTTTGGTCACGTGATTCTGTGATGGTTTGTTCATGTGATTCTGTGATGGTTTGTTCATGTGATTCTGTGAATGGTTTGGTCATGTGATTCTGTGGTGGTGTGTTCATGTGATTCTGGGAACGGTTCGGTCACGTGATTCTGTGATGATTCGGTCATGTGATCCTGTGATGGTTTGGTTATGTGATTCTGTGAATGGTTTGGTCATGTGATTTGGTGATGGTTCGGTAATGTGATTCTGTGATGGTTTGGTCACGTGATTCTGTGATGGTTTGGTCATTTGATCCTCTGGTGGTTCGGTCATGTGATTCTGTGGTGGTTCAGTCATGTGATCCTGTGGTGGTTTGGTCATGTGATTCTGTGATGGTTTGGTCACGTGATTCTGTGATGTTTGGTCACGTGATTCTGTGATGATTTTGTCACTTGATTCTGTGATGGTTTGGTCATGTGATTCTGTGATGGTTTGGTCATGTGATCATGTGATGGTTTGGTCATGTGATTCTGTGATGGTTTGGTTATGTGATTCTGTGAATGGTTTGGTCATGTGATTCTGTGATGGTTTGGTCACTTGATTCTGTGATGGTTTGGTCATGTGATCATGTGATGGTTTGGTCACTTGATTCTGTGATGGTTTGGTCATGTGATCATGTGATGGTTTGGTCATGTGATTCTGTGAATGGTTTGGTCATGTGATCCTATGATGGTTTGGTCATGTGATTCTGTGAATGGTTTGGTCATGTGATTCTGTGAATGGTTTGGTCATGTGATCCTATGATGGTTTGGTCATGTGATTCTGTGATGGTTTGTTCATGTGATTCTGTGAATGGTTTGGTCATGTGATTCTGTGGTGGTGTGTTCATGTGATTCTGAGAACGGTTTGGTCACGTGATTCTGTGATGGTTTGGTCATGTGATTCTGTGAATGGTTTGGTCATGTGATTCTGTGGTGGTTTGGTCATGTGATTCTGTGATGGTTTGGTCATGTGATTCTGTGAATGGTTTGGTCATGTGATTCTGTGATGGTTTGGTCATGTGATTCTGTGGTGGTTTGGTCATGTGATTCTGTGATGGTTTGGTCATGTGATTCTGTGAATGGTTTGGTCATGTGATTCTGTGATGGTTTGGTCATGTGATTCTGTGATGTTTGGTCATGTGATTCTGTGATGATTTGGTCACGTGATTCTGTGATGGTTTGGTCACGTGATTCTGTGATGGTTTGTTCATGTGATTCTGTGAATGGTTTGGTCATGTGATTCTGTGGTGGTGTGTTCATGTGATTCTGGGAACGGTTCGGTCACGTGATTCTGTGATGGTTCGGTCATGTGATCCTGTGATGGTTTGGTTATGTGATTCTGTGAATGGTTTGGTCATGTGATTTGGTGATGGTTTGGTCATGTGATTCTGTGGTGGTTCGGTCATGTGATTCTGTGATGGTTTGGTTATGTGATTCTGTGATGGTTTGGTCACGTGATTCTGTGATGGTTTGGTCATTTGATCCTCTGGTGGTTCGGTCATGTGATTCTGTGGTGGTTCGGTCATGTGATCCTGTGGTGGTTTGGTCATTTGATCCTGTGGTGGTTTGGTCATGTGATTCTGTGATGGTTTGGTCACGTGATTCTGTGATGTTTGGTCACGTGATTCTGTGATGATTTGGTCACTTGATTCTGTGATGGTTTGGTCATGTGATCATGTGATGGTTTGGTCATGTGATTCTGTGATGGTTTGGTTATGTGATTCTGTGAATAGTTTGGTCATGTGATTCTGTGATGGTTTGGTCACTTGATTCTGTGATGGTTTGGTCATGTGATCATGTGATGGTTTGGTCACTTGATTCTGTGATGGTTTGGTCATGTGATCATGTGATGGTTTGGTCATGTGATTCTGTGAATGGTTTGGTCATGTGATCCTATGATGGTTCGGTCATGTGATTCTGTGAATGGTTCGGTCATGTGATTCTGTGAATGGTTTGGTCATGTGATTCTGTGAATGGTTTGGTCATGTGATCCTATGATGGTTTGGTCATGTGATTCTGTGATAGTTTGGTTATGTGATTCTGTGAATGGTTTGGTCATGTGATTCTGTGATGGTTTGGTCATGTGATTCTGTGATGGTTTGGTTATGTGATTCTGTGAATGGTTTGGTCATGTGATTCTGTGATGGTTTGGTCATGTGATGGTTTGGTCATGTGATTCTGTGATGTTATGCTCATGTGATCCTGTGATGGTTTGGTCATGTGATCCTGTGATGGTTTGGTCTCGTGATTCTGTGAATGGTTTGGTCATGTGATCCTATGATGGTTTGGTCATGTGATTCTGTGATGTTATGCTCATGTGATTCGGTCATGTGATGAGTCTCACCTCAGGGGCCAGATACTCCGGGGTCCCGCAGAAGGTCTTCATAGTGGCTCCGTCTGTGATGCCCTCCTTACACAAGCCGAAGTCCGTGATCTTGACGTGGCCGTCTTTATCCAGCATTAGGTTTTCCAGCTGAGAGAGAGAAACACCGGCAGAAAAGAGATCATGTGATCATCTAATAAGAGCTGCTTTTATTCTACTGTGACTGACAGATTTTCATAATTTCCTAAAAGGGCATTTCAAAAAAGCCTTCAATCAAACCAACCAGCTCCAATCACACCACTTTATCAGAAAAGAAGTAAATGTATAAAATAGTAAAACTATTTCACAAAAAAAGTCAGTTGATGCCAAACACTTAAACTTACAGCAGCGTGATAAAAGCTACCTAAAATGACTGAAAACATATTTGGAAAAAAATTATTTGAAGTGTAATTTGATTGTTTAGTTTCCATCGTGTCCATTAGACTTCATAGGGAGGCAGGGTTTATGAGCTATACTGGGACCAGGGTTTGAACTTCTACTAGCCAAAAGTAGAAGGATAGTAACCAGATTAACTATGTCACAGTTTATATATATATTACCAAATTTGGATTTCATACATTCATTCAAACTAAATGCTGTCATCCAGCAACTCCTCTCTTCCTCTTTCATCCTCATAATGTTCACCAGGGGGCGATCGAGACGCTTCGGCTTCACTTTTCACGACACACTTGTGTTAATATCAGCACTCCTCACAGTCACCTGGCAGCTGTAGCTCACACACACGTGGCCAGAGGCTCGAGAACACAACGCTCGTCAGCACAAACACCCGTCCTGCTACACACGCACTTTCACATGAACCTGAGCGGCCGAGCCGAGAGAGGAGAGGAGGAGAAACGAAGAGAAAGCAAAACACGGGTTGTTCTGCTGACCTACAGTATCATCATCTGGACGGGTCAGAGAGACGCACAACATCCCACTGCACTGTTAAAGGGACAGTTCACACACACACACACACACACACACACACACATTAACATCTGATGGTAATTTACACACTCGGGATTGTTTGCAGAGGCTGTGGATTACGCACTCAAACACATACTCCCTCACACACACACACACTCTCTCTCTCACTCACTCACTCACACATTCACTCTCAAACACACACACACACACACACACACACAAACACACGCACACACACACTGTCACTCACTCACACATTCACTCTCAAACACACACACACACACACACACACACACTGTCACTCACTCACACATTCACTCTCAAACACACACACACACACACACACACACACAAACACACACAACACACACTCTCACTCACACATTCACTCTCAAACACACACACACACACACACACACACACACACACACACACACACACACACACACACACACACACACACAGACACACACACACTCTCACTCACTCACTCACACATTCACTCTCAAACACACACACACACACAAAACACACACAAACACACACTCACTCAAACACACACACACACACACACACACACACACACACACACACACACACACACAACTAAAACACATACATACACACACACACACACAAACACACACATACATTTTTTCGGTGATGAGGATGAAAGAGGAAGAGAGGAGTTGCTGGATGACAGGATTTTGTTTGAATAAGAAATGAATGTATGAAATCCAAATTTTATAATACATATATATATATATATATGGGGGAAAATAATATAAATATGAGGAAAAAATGGAAAAAAGATCAATAAAAGAGATTAACTACATCACAGCATATATAAATATATATATATATATATATATATATATATATATAGGCCTATATACAGTATAGTGGTTAATTTATTTATTCCCCCACACTTTTTTTGGGCTAGCAGACGTTCTGAAAGGCCGGTAACTTAAAAATGCATTAGCCAAATTGGCCGTTAAGTGAAAAAGTTAATTTCAAACCCTGAATACGTCACAATTTACTTGATTATGCTCTCCTCACTTACACACAAATGAACTATAGTGTCCTGCACACACTAGTAAAAAAATATCTAAAGTAAAACTATATCTGGTATAAATCATTTTTGGTGTGCCTGTATGTGAAATGAAGTGCACAACTGATCTGAGCCGGTGACCCCTGACCTTCAGGTCCCTGTAAACCACGTTTCGCTCTGCATGCAGGTAATCCAGCGCACACACGATCTCGGCCCCGTAGAAGCGCGCGCGGTCCTCCGAGAAAACACGGTCCCGGGACAAGTGGAAGAAAAGCTGCGGGAGGGAATCAACGTTTATAACCGTGATGATCATCTCAAGCTCTGGTCTGAGAAGAACTGGGCCTCACCTCTCCTCCGTTGGCGTACTCCATGACGAAACACAACCGGTCGTGGGTCTGGAAGGAGTATTTCAGACCCTAAACATGCACATCCATTCAAATTAATACAATTAACAATGTATTGAATAATCATATGAAATATTAATGATAAAGACATTCAATGCAAAAAGTGCTGTATATTGCAAATACGCAGTGTAAAAAATACAAATATTGTGAAATGACAGTCAAAAATTATCGCTATAGGAATTTAATGGGGAAAATAAGACGTTTTAATCGTAATTGTTTGAATATTTGTACTTCAATTCAACGTTTCAAACAAAAATATTCTAACTTTTGACAGATGTCTAAATAGGTTTAAATACAGAAATGCAAACCTAATAAAAGTAAGTAATTATGTCTGAAAACACTGTTCTCGGTAACTATATTGCACAACCCTGTTAATATATTTATAAATAGGGCTACACAGATATCCAGTGGTTATATCATGATATTATGAACAATGTTTCCATCCAACAATGTATTGAATAATTATGCAAAAAGTGATGTTTTTCCTCAGTATTTCTGTCTAGTTTTCCAGTACAAATTCCCAAACATTCTTAAATCAAAATGCGCTTACTTGAGAAGCAAAATGTCATATTAAGTCTGGTTGTATGAGAAATTGATCAGAATTAAGAGTTAAAATAGGAACAAATATCCTCCATTGGGGTATAAACATTTTTTTTAAACCTAATTCTAAGTTAAAAGTTTATTTTTCTAACCCCATTGGTGGATATTTGTTCTTGTTTTAAGCATATACTCACTTCATTTTCATCAATTTCTCAGATTTTTAAATTTTTTTAAATAAGTAATTTTGCAGCATATCATATCAAGTAAATGTATCTTAACTTAAGTATGTTTAGATGTTTGTACTGGAAAACAAGACACAAATATTGAGGTGCGTTTTAAAAATATATTGACATTTTTTATTTAAAAAATATATTCTACAGTTTTATTACTTTCTGCATTTTTTATTAAATTCTGCAGTTTTATTTTAAGGACTTTTATTATATAAAATAAAAAAGGAAGTTTGATTCCATCCTCATTACAAATTAATATTCCTCTTTTATGTTATCTGGAAAACATTGAGCATCTAATTTCTACTTCACTAGCATCACCAACTGAAAGAGTAAAAATAATGACTGTTTTCAAACAGGTTTCTCAAGATCTGACTTATTTACATTTCTTTCCTCAGTATTTCTGTCTTGTTTTCCAGTACAAATATCTAAACATTCTTAAATCATGATGCGCTTACTTGAGATGCAAAATGTCATATTAAGTCTTGTTTGTTTTATGAGAAATTGATCAAAATGAAGTGAGTTTGTGCTTAAAACAAGAACAAATATCTGTCAGTGGAGTCTTGTTTTCCCTTTGAATTAAGTTTATTTTTCTGACCCCATTAGCAGATATTTGTTCTTGTTTAAAGCACAAACTCACTTAAAGCTGCAGTCCGTAACTTTTTTGGGTTAAAAATTATCCTAAATAAATTTGAGTAAGTACATAACCAGCCAGCGTTCAACACTCTCTGCTTGCCGTAGCTCGACTCACAGCGGTGAGCTTGTAAAAATGTTTTTAATTCCTGGGAAATTGCGAGCATGTCTTTGCGTCATTACGTCACATCTGTACACACACATCTGTCCACACACACATCTGTCCACACACATCTGTACACACACATCTGTACACACACACATCTGTACACACACATCTGTACACACACATCTGTACACACACACACATCTGTCCACACACATCTGTATACACACATCTGTACACACACATCTGTACACACACATCTGTACACACACACCTGTACACACACACATCTGTCCACACACATCTGTACACACACATCTGTACACACACACCTGTACACACACACCTGTACACACACACACATCTGTCCACACACATCTGTACACACACATCTGTACACACACACACCTGTACACACACATCTGTCCACATAAAGAAGAGTCTCGGCTAGTCGGCTGTGAGTGTGAGGATGCTGGAGGTGGAGATTTATAGCCTTTTCTCGCAGCACTGGATATAATTACACTTATTAATGTGATGGCGGATCCAGAAAGGTTCAAACGACGATCACCAGCGACGACTAGAGACTCACCCGCTGTAACATGTAGATGATGTCGGACTGAGAGTTTGGAAAAAGAGACTGCAACGGCACATGCGAAAACAAGGGTAATATCGGGAGGACATTAAATGTCGTCACGCAATGCTGACATTGAACATTAACACTTTGAGAACAAAGTGTATAATAAGCGATCGTTAGATTTAATCAGCGCGATTTACTGCAATTTTTAGAACCAGAACAAAAGTGGATGTTTTTCACTTGTTCAGACATTTTCCGGTGAATATTCTTATGTTGGTCATATTTCCACAAAGTATAATCTGTGATTGTGAACGCCAGTATCGACACCGGCGGCGACTGACACACACACACTCCTCAAACACTGTGTTCATCCGCGCTGCGCCGCGCCGAGGCACAACTCACGTAAAGCTGATCACTCCGCCAATGACTGCAATTGCAGATTTCGAACAGAGATGGCGACCAAGAGGAAAAACCACGGACTGCAGCTTAATTAATTTCAATAATTCAAGACTCTGGGCCCTATTTTAACGATCTGAAACGCAAGTATCAAGCACGAAGCGCAAGTAACTTTGTGGGCAGGTCTTGGGCGCTGTTGCTATTTTACCGGCGGGATAAATGACTCTTTTGCCCGACGCAAGTTTAAAAGGGGTTGGTCTGAAATAGCTTCATTATTCATAGGTGTGGTTTGGGCGTAACGTGAAATAAACCAATCAGAGCGTCATCCAACATACCCTTTAAGAGCAGGCGCGCATGTTGCATGGCGGATTGCTATTATAACGGCGGGTTTACCAGGCGCGCGCCAGGAGCGGTTCACAGCCGAGGAGACCGGCGTTCTTGTCAGGGCAGTGAAAGACAGAGAAGTGGCGTTGTATGGGGATGGGAGATTTTGTTTGTCCTGGTTCTTGACGGACAAACTAATTTGTCAGATGTCCTTATATACGTGTCTTGCCACTATTGGGAAAACAGGTCTGATCCGTCATTACTACATTCGGTACTACATACTACATTACTACGTCATTCATTAGCCTGAATAATTTGGGTAAATGTGTAAGCTAGATTTAGGCCTACATTTTTTACATCTTCATGGACACCACAATGATTTCCCTCATGTGTTAATATTTTTCCTTGTTATAATGTATGATTTGCAAAAATAAAAACTGCTGCATCTGTGTTGATGAGAGAATCTAAGTGTGTGTGTGTTGTGCACCCGCTACATTATGGCCAAGCATGCGCGCTTAAAATAGCATTATGAACAACGCGCGACGCGCCACTGACTTTAGACTAGGTTTTTTCTGGTCAGTGGTGGAATTGTTTTCTGGAACTGCAGAATAGCACCAGGGAATATTTGCGCCGAAACACGCCTCCTCTTTGTGCCGACCCGCCCAGGGAGCCAGGGCCGGCCCGTGGCATAGGCGGCATAGGCAAATGCTAGGGGCGCCACTACTCAATAGGGGCGCCAAAATGAGTGAACGAGTGATTTTTTTATTTTTTACTAATACTATTTTAAAACCATTAATTCGAAATACTACAAAATAAAGCAAAACAACTCCACAAAAACTTAACTAAGTCCCCCGAATCCGGTCCGGCGCATCAATCTTCCCCCGCCCAGCGAGTGCTTGAAGTGCGTCAGAAACAGAGCGCGCGCGATCAGTTTACTGTTGGTCATTTGTTGTGTAGCGTCGCCCCGCGCCGCCTCCAATGTAGACAGCATTGCTTTCGTTTCAGGGCGCTGAACACACTCAAGCACTGCCGTAGAGCCGGGCCTGGCAGCTCGCGCCTGGTCTAGACACGGTGAAAGTTTCCTCATTGTGACGGATGGCCGAATTTACATGACACATTTAAATTAGCATTATAGCATTATAATAAAATAAAAAATAAATAAAATAAATAGTCTGCGATAGATACAGTGCCAAAAAAGAAGAGTAGAGGATACAAGGGGGATAAAGACGAGGTAAAGTGATGTAATGAATGAACAGTTTATCTAATTGCATAGTAGTAAGATACTATAATTTAATCGCAGTTATTTTTACCTAATAACTTTATGCTAACCGTAGTTCTGAGTTCTCCAGAGCCCCCAGACAATGCGATTTGTAACAATCATGTCAGTTTTTTGGCGCATTTACTATGACTTTTATTATTTAATGTTTTACTATACCGTTGTGCAGTTTTAAGGGGGATATATGGCTTTTTTTTTTTTTTTTGCCCAAATTACTAACGATATTTATAGGCTACAGGTTTATTATGTTTTGTGTAAAATTCACATTAAAGACGACATTTCGCAGTTTCATTCATGTTGAAAACATGAAACGTGCCATAATTTAGTGGAAGATTGCTGCCATCAACTCCCAAACAAACACTTTTGCTAGTACTCAATGAATAGTTTGTGCATGAATGACATTTGGACGATGACATCACTGTTGTATCCAGTGCGGCTATATATAAATTAAATAAATTAATATTTTTTTACAACAAAATAAACCACTGAACATACTTAAGCTGGATTATGACACTATTTTCTTCTAGATCTGCTGTACAGGAGAAGCAAACTTTGATTCATTATTTTCCTGTTATCACTGTAAAGCTGCCTTGAAATAATCTGTATTGTAGGCTAAAAAGCGCTATTTAAAAATAAAGGGGACTTGACTTGAATGCTAGATGTAATGCTCTTGCTATATATACTGTATATATATGACTAAATAATCACCAACACAATGATGGGGTAAAATGGGCTGTAATGCATGGGGCACCAGGTAAAATCTTGCCTAGGGCAGCAAATTGGTCAGGGCCGGCCCTGCAGGGAGAGCAAGTTCATTTCCTAGTTTACCGACGTGCGTCTGTGGAGGGAAAAGCCCGCTTTGCGGCGGGTGCAAAATAGGAATGATACATGCGTCAGTGTACAAAGTCATTTGCGCCGGGTGCAAGATAGGGCCTTATCTAAAGTAATTTTGCTTATCAAGTACATGCATCTTGATTTAAGAATATTTAGATGTTTAGTACTGGAAAACAAGACTAAAATAGCGAGAAACCAGTTTATGTTCCAGGATGAAACTTGGAAGTGGAAACGGGCGACATTATTCAATTTGAAGTGGTAGCTTGAACTCTTCTAAAGCGCTTTGTGTAGTTGGATCAACAGAGGCAGACGTGCTTGAGATGAGAGGCTATTGAAGAAGAAGAAGAAGAAGAAGAAGAAGAGCAGATCATGAGAGTCTCTCACCGTCAGGAAGGGGTGTCTGGAGTTCTGGAGCACACGGTTCTCTGTGAGTGTGTGAGCCACTTCATCCTGAAACACACATCATTCTTCAGACTTTCACAGGTTACAATAACAGTAAAGTGTTGAAATCGCACACATATACAGGTGAAACTCGAAAAATACGAATATGGTGCAAAAGTCCATTTATTTCAGTAATTCACCTTAAAGCTGAAACTAATATAATATATAGACTCATTACATGCAAAGTGAGATATTTCAAGCCTTTATTTGTTATAATTGTGATGATTATGGCTTACAGATATGAAAACTTTTCACAATATTCTAATTTTGGGGTTTTCATATCTGTAAGCCATAATCATCGAAATTATAACAAATAAAGGCTTGAAATATCTCACTTTGCATGTAATGAGTCTATATAATATATTAGTTTCACTGTTAAGGTGAATTACTGAAATAAATGGACTTTTGCACGATATTCAAATTTTTCGAGTTGGGAATGATTAAACATGTGACAAATGAAAAACCTTACTGGAAAAAAATGGTGTATGAATACTATAACCAAACTAACAGCCTAAACCTGACACGTTCAGCATTTTTATTTACTTTATTTATACATACACTGTAAAAAAAAATATTTTTATGATTTTTTATCACATTTTTTCTTCTGTCAAAATTAACTTGTGGTTCAGATAACATAATATTTTGAGTTTCTGTTGCATAAATCAATCTAACAAAATGTTTTAATTTCATTGAATGTAAAATTTTAAGGCACTTTTTTAAGTTAAACCAACAATACAGTGTAGTTTTACAGACTAACTAAAGTAGGCTTTGTCAGAATTAGCTCACACACTCAAGCAAACACACTCAGAAGTCAAATATTTCTCAGGTGTGTAATATTTTTCCGGATGTTACTCACTTTGGCTACAATCACTTCTTTCTTGAGGATTTTCATGGCGTAATATTTTCCCGTTGCTTTTTCCTTCACCAGAATCACCTTCCCAAAAGTGCCTTTTCCCAGGAGTTTGAGGTATTCAAAGTCATGCATGGTCTGAAACACACACACACACACA